AGAAAGTGCAAGGGCAAAATGGGAATACGTGCATATATTATTTGATATAAGGTTTCATTGAAGAAACCCTAGCCTTATATGCAGCCCTTGTTCATGCCACCTTCACCCCATTTTCTCTCAATTTTCTTCACTAAATTTCAAGGAGAAATCATAGGATTTGGCTTGGATTTTCATATATTTTCAATCCTAAAGCATCCTTGTAACGCCCCACTTGAGGTATGTAGCTAATGTTTCTTATTTTGCACTTATTTGAGTCGGTTTATTATTAATATTGTTTGGTTGGCCCTTAGTTGAATGGAGGTATTGGTTGGTTAAATGTTTGCCTTGGAAATTATGAAGAATTGGCGAAATTTTGGGGTTACAGGCTTCGCCGCGGTGAAGAGATGTTTTAGCCCGCAGTGAGCTACTGGAGTGTTTCGCCGCGGCGATGGAATTGTCTTCGCCACGGCTACGGGTCGGCTGAAAAATTTATGGAAGTTTAGATATTTTCTTCCCTAAGGGCAATTTGACCATTCTACCCCTAATTAGTAGGAAAAGTGGGGAGTAAAATGTAAGGAAATTTCATGGAAAATATGTTGGTGTGGGGGTGTGATTGTGATGAATTAAAGGATATAGATGGAATTCCCAAGGAAGAGTAAGGGCAATATGGGAATGCTTGCCCATAAGTTGAGTTAAAAGGATTTAAGTCATTGCAAACCTTTCATTCTTCTTCTCCACCGCCATTCTCCTCCTTTCCTACTTCCTCTCAACTCCTCTTTCATTAGTTCAAGGATTTTTATAGGGCTTTTTGGAGTGATTGGAGTAGAAAATCAAGCTAAGGCATCCTAAGGTAAGGATTCTTGCTTTGGATGTGAGGTTTTGTGTATATTTGTATATTAAAGTTATATGGTTTTATTGTTTAAAGGGTAGAAAAAAGTCAAGCAAGCAAAGGAAAAGAAAGTATTAGTGAGAGTTCTCCATTACAAGGTAAGTAAATCCCCACCCAAGTTGAGATTTGAGAACATTCTTGAGTAGAGATTTAACAACAACTATGTATGCATGTTATGTGCATGTTATATGCTATGAAATTGAGATTAATTATCCATGTTGTGATTGAATACACTTCATTTAAGAGAAGTGTTGATATGTGTTGAGATGAGGTTTGGAAGGTTTTGAGTAAACCTTTTTAGAAGTGTTACTCCTTAGCAGGATTTATAGCTATGTGAGGGAGTTGTCTCCCATTTGGGATGGTTAGAGAAAGGAATAGAGCTATTATTATAGTAAAGTCTTTATATGCACTTGAGTTGTTTGATGAAATGCCTAAGAGAGGTTTGAGTATGAGTAGCAAGCCTAAATTCTTGCAATATTGCATGTTGGCATCTCATAAGTGCAATAGGGGAAATGAACCATCCATATGCATTAATTGTGCATTAAGGAGTGACTTAAGAAAGAGTAGAAAACTTTGTGAATGAACTACTCTAAGAGTAAAGAGAATGAGAAGTGCTAGCCACACACAATATGATGCAAAAAGATAATATGGATAAAACAGAGATTTTTTTCTTTCATATTGGAAAAAGAAGAGGATCCGGAAAATGAATTAATGCAACAAACAGTAAAAGATAAGCAGTTCTGTAGCAAATAATCATTAGAATCTCATTGATAACATTTAAGCCATCAACATAGTCAACACTGTAAAAGCAGATAAAGAGAATAATCATACAGTTACAGCTTCAGTTCATATGTGAACCCAATATTGTATATGCGTAATCATGAATTCCAGGACACCCTTTACTTCGTCTTTTATCTGAAAAATGAACAACAAAACATTACACCAAAAAAAAAAAAAAAAAAAAAAAAAAGAAGCTAATGAGATATCAATTGACCTCAACTCACCTGGGATTCCCTGCAGAAAATATGAGCATCATCCTGCAACAAAAACAGCATAAAATTATCAAAAGAATGGTATTCTAACAACCAAGAAATAAATTCAAGGGACATATAACTATAAATGACAGGTTTGATTGTTATGAGATTATTGACCACACCCTGAATAGACAATCCTAGACAGATTATATCCTACTCAACCCAAGAATTAAATGGAGGTTTGTGACAGATTAAATAGCTAAGATTTACAAGAAAAATAAAGTAAACATTTAGCTTTAGCTTTAAAAGGTGCAGAGCCAAGAGCATAAGATTACAAGAAAATAAACTAAATGTTTACTTTACTTAAAGGTGCAGAAAGCCAAGGAACCCAACATTGAATGACGAGCAGTCCACATGATTATAGAGTAAAATTTAGTGATAGCAAACCACATCCAAAAGATACCTGCTAAATCTCCTGACACGAGTTAATCCAGTCAGTGCACCACTTGCCTCATCCGTGCAACACCCCCAAATCAGCCAGTCGAAGTGGTAGTTCTGCAAATTGAGAGTAGATCATCAATGTTATGGCTTCTAAAGATTGTTGAATTTTAAAGAAAATTTGTTGACTGATAATGTTTTTGATTCTAGTATAAAGAAGATGTTTGTTAGCCCAAAGAAGAGAGTTAATGCAAAAATTTCTGTTACGACACAGTTCGCATCTTCTTTTTTTTTTAGGAGAAGTCCAGCACGTGATGCATGTAAAAGAAAAAGATGATAAGTGATCAGTTTTCATGACCAACTTGAATTTTTTTTATCAACTTCTCCTCCATCATACAAATCGTTGGCCTCATCATATAGGCACATCCATACGGCTAGCATGACATAAGGGATACTTAAACATTCTATTTGATTTGATTAAACCAAACCTTTCAAATGCAGAGTGACTAACTAAAACAATTCAAGTGAAGAAAATGCATGACATTTTTACAGAAAAATGCTATATAAATGAACTTACCTCTATAAGAACGAACCTTGTGGTCAAACATCAAACAGTGCCCTGACAATTCATTGGCTTCAATCCAAATTCTTGTTTCTCAATCTATGCCAAAAAATTGAATACAGCACATCAAAGAAAAAGATAACAGTATTCTAAATAAGACATTATCTTCTTTGCCTAAAGACTTATAATAAGGTGTTAAATCCTATACACAAGCATATCTCCCTTTTATTACAGAATTCACAAGCGAACTTAGTGTCCTCCTTCCATTAACTTGAAATTTGCAAAGATCATACTTGCACACAAGGGCAGTGACTGTCCACAAGATAACATAGTCCCATACACAACAAAATTACAAATGATAAACATGAGTCCTCCCCCCTTTCTCTCTCTCTCTCTCTCTCTCAAACACCAAATAAGAAACTCAAGATTCATCTATTACTTTGCCCACAACCTTGACACAGCTAGCATATTGTCATGAATTTCTTGGAGTCCCCACCAAAATAAACCATTGATCAGATATCTCTTAACAAATTAATACATATCTGAATTAGTAATGTGTACATGTTATGGTTGCATCATTAAATGAGCTAAATCTGAAATAAATGTTCTCCTCACCTCCACTTAATTACTTGAGTAAATTTTCCATATAATGTTTGCACCATCACCCTCCGTCATGCCATTACCTACTACTACTTCCTAAATATGTAATAGTGAAACTTATGCATATAAACGACTAAATCTTACAAATACCTCGATCTAGCCATGCATAGTAAAAACACAATATAGTTCTCAATCTTGATTCTCTATACAGGAGGATAAATTGAAATTGTGTCCAATCAAAAAATAGAAAAAAATAAATACAATTATTCAGAAGCTTACATCAATCGAAAACATATTCTCCTTGTAATTTGCTGCATGACCAGATGTTTCCCAGAGTTTCATGTTATACATATTTGCGATATAACCTGCCAATTCAAGTAATTTAGGCACTTATTTATAAAAGTATACTATAATATGATGTACATAACAAGAATAATTTTACCTCTTGATAACCTCTCTCCCAATACTGTTTTTAATAAACTCCATCAATTTGTTGTAAACGAGTACCATGTGGAAGGAAGACCAGCTTCCAGGGCTGCTTTCACAAAAGAGCATCAAGTTCATATCATAGAATGTTGTAAGTATTGTGTGTTCATTAATCTGATTCGTACCTAAGGGATGATTAAAGAAAGTTCTTGCTTTTTACCCACTTCTCTATGGTCATATTGCTCTGCTCTTTCAACAGTTTAATATGCTCCTGGTATCTGATACATTGTTGAGAAGAACAAGATATCATTTGGAAACCAATGAGAAATGGATGACGCAAAAGGACTTTTCTCATCTTTGAAACAAACTAGTCCCCCCCAATACCACAAACTCGTGTGTATAATATTTACCATTGTGGTTTAGAAAGCAAGCGTTAACTTACTTAAGAAATAATGCTGTTTCATCTTTCTGCAAATTTTTTATACTAAAATTATATCAAACAAAGAGCATCAAGGCTATAAGCAGCACGTACTTGCAAATGTCATAAAGAACTTCTGTTTGCTAACAACACTCGTTTCCAGAAACAAATATTTGTTCTTTAAATGTAAAAAAAAAAAAAAAAAAGAAAAAAAAATCCAGCTAAAAACCCCATATTCCCAAAATTTTCTTCATACTTTATGAATTCCTTGATGCATTTATATTTTTATATCATTCATTTGGATTGACAATGATCACTGAAAAAACCATTTTTATATTCTTCTTAGACTACAATTCATTGAAGTGGGAATGCTGAGACCAATAAACATACCGCCAGTTTCAACAAAATCCATAGCAATCAGCAGTTAAACAAAAGGAACTGATGCATCAAAAAATGCACATCAAAGAAGAAACCTAACTACAATGGCTGAAAATAAAAATACCAGCAAACTTTTTTTATCAGGAAAGATATCCCATATACTCTCTGTAAACTCTCACGATCTTTGTTTCCCCTCCATAAGCTGACGAAGCTGAAATATAAATTTATTAGCATGACAATATTTGCAAAACACAAGGTTTAACATGCCATACAGACATCCCTTCAAACACCAAATGCTTTCACAAAAGATGTATTTGGTATATGGGGTCCCAACACAGTCAACCAAGGGACCGCATCTATATACTGTAATAGTTTTGTCGGCAGGTAGGTCATTGATGATCTCAACCTAATTATGAAAAGAAAAAATCAGATAAGAATTTTAAATGAAATACCATCTTAACTATATAGTAAAGATTTGATGGATGATAAACCCAAGCGCTTCACTCACCTTGAAACTATTATCAGAAAACATCTCAAGAGCCTGTTCTTTTGTTACTTCAATGCGTCAAAAGGCTGCTTTTCCTGAAACATGGAATTTCCAATGATTACCCACAGTTTCATCATTCTTGAGTAGTAGGAGCATACAAGAAAACTGAACCACTGAACTCAAACATCTGCATTTTAAGATATAAGAAAATGCAAGAAAAAGTTTATTCGCCTATGATTATTAGACAAAACCAACACGGTACTCTCACCGCCCCTTCTATGTCCTTGCTAGTAGATTTGGTGGACTTTTGGGTTATAAATAGAGGAGAAAGGAGAAGTAGTTGTACACTACCCAATCTCAGATCTTCTGTAAAACTGCAAACACATTTGACCAAGGTATATACCAAACTGATTAACATATATTCAGCTTTGTTTACAGATTGTACAGGGTCCCCTGATTATTTTTCTACAATAAAAATAAACTTATGATGCAATTCCAAATTTTCCACAGTGATTGACAGAAAAGATTTAACAATCTGTGCAACTGAGGTAAGCCCCAATTCATCCTAATCAAATTCTACCACAATCTACAACAAAGTTCGACAAAAACCCTGAAACATGATGATAGTTATCCTTTGGTCACTAATAACTCCATGTTGACAATTCAAGCCATCTACTCTTTTAACCATTCTTTTCACAAGAGGTCCTTCATTACCAGAATTACAATAAATGAAAAGACAAAGAGTATGCACAACAAGTAGTAACAGCACTTTCTCCATAACGCACAAGTATAATAATCAGTATACAGAGTACTAAAAAAGGAAACAGAAATACCAACAGCTTTCGCTGCCCCTGCATCAATTGACTTAAAGTGGTCCTGATTCAAGCCCAAGTCACCATAAAATGCATCATAGTAGAAACCCTGCAAAGGCATGTCACATCTTGTAAAAAATCTTATTTGCATATCATAAGTAGTCACAAAATGTTTGTGTCAAAATAAACATGCAACAGTGGTATTTTAATCAAATTTATTTGTAAATTCCAACTTGAACATACATGTTGCTATTATAGATATTATTTCCATGACAAATAACGACAATAATAACTCAGTAATAATTTAAAAAAAAAATAAGAAAAAGAAAAGTAAGCATCAACAACATCAAATTTAAGAATACTTGGTATGATGTAACAATCCTCCACCACTTTGACTAATGAATCTTAATACATGGGCTGAATTGTAAAGAAAACGCATAGAACTTCAAGATAAAGAATACTGCCTTGGATGTAAAAATTAACTCAAAGGTGCAGTCCAACAAGTAATGTGTAGAGTAAAAACTAGTAATGATGCTAAAAACTTGAATCCAATAATAACCAAATCCTACTAGCTGCATGTGAGAGGTATAAGAGTTTATCAATTTTGGCTTATCACAAAGATTGATCAAGGACATAAGAAACATCTTTTCTCCACCACTGGTTCGTGATTTCATAACATAATCAAATCAATCTCAAGCTATAAGTATTAATGTCTTCCAAAACAATAAATGAAGTTACGACTTTGTTTCCTAGGTTACCAAAACAGAAATGTCACCAGCTTGCAGTCCAGAAACAATTCACGCTGCCACATACATAATAATTTTCTCATATCTCTCATGTAACTCCTGAAATACTTTTGAAACATGCTATGGACGCTTTCTTATTCTCAACCACTTCTCTCTAAACAGGATACATCCAGTAGGACCAAACATTAAAGAATCTACTAATCTGAGATGAACAAGTTCCCATGACACTTTAGTAGCAGCTACCAACAATTTGTTTTCATAAAGAACATTAATATTATCACTCTCTACAACCCGAAACTGCCCTAAAGTTCATCAGCACACATCCAAGTCAAAGCCTCTCTCAATCAACCTAACATGAATCTCTACCAACTTGAGCAAATTTAAAAAACATTGTAATTACTCTACACCAATCTCGCTTCTTTGCAATGCACTACAAAATCAGCACAAATTCGAAAGCGTTGTAATTCTCTACAACCATATTTTTAAATCCACTTTTCCTCATTCCAACATCTAGTTTGGTACGAAACAACAAATAAAAGATTCGTTATACTCTATAACACTAATAAAACGAATTCAAAAAAAGAAAAAGTGTCCAACATGTACCTCTCCCTTGTGGACAGGGTCCAATACAAATTTGCAACCATACTCCATTTCCACTGCCTGCAGCACAACAAAACACAAATGTAATTAAGATATAGCCATTAAAGACCCAGATCCACGTAAGATTCAAACAACCTGTCCAGAATATGGGCGCTAGAGTGCCAAAGGTATCACGACCTTCATCACTCCAAATGTGAACAGTTTGAGTTGACAATTGCCTTCCAACGGTCTATTCATGTCCCACAAAACTCCATCCACCATAGAATAAGAGCATTGGCGGCCAAACTCTTGATATCCCTTTGGCAATCCATGGGCGAAGTTAGCCATCTTTTTCCTTCCTTCACAGACCCATCCGGCAACACAATCCTTTCAAAAACACCACCTAATATTACTAATTAGAAAAAAAAAAAAGATTTAAAAAGAAAAGGAAAGATAAAGGAAGAAAAACGAACTCGATAGGTCGTGAGGTAGCGACTGAATGTGGGCTTGTTGTTGTGACTGAATGGATTGGAAAAGACTAATTCGTTTCGGTATGGTGTTCTCAGATAGTCTTCGTCTTTGGGGTGATTTGGGCCGCCATGGCGAAAGAAGAGAAGAGCGCAGATAAGACCAGGGTTTAAAGAAAGGGCTTTGGAGTGAAGCAGAAAGGAGAAAATGAGAGACGGCGGCACAGGGTTTTCCCACATTGCATATGTATTACGCTTAGGGAATAATTTCGACCCTCCGCCCTTGTATTCTATTACTATATTCCCAACTCAGCTCCGTTGCGGGCGTGGACATCAACCATGGGCTGGTACTGGTAGAACACCTGTTAGTCGTTATCGTCACTATTATAGATATTGGGCTGGTTCAAATTGTTTCTCTTGGGCTTTCCTGTAGTCCATTCATGGAAGATGATCATAAAAACCCAATTATAGTTGCTCATTAAGATATAAAGAACTAGACCAGCACGGACTGATTATTTGAACCCCTCAATTTTTTGCAAGCCTCATATTAATTAAATTTATTTAATAAAATTAAGCACAAACTTTATTTCAATATTAGCCTTATCTTCTACGACTTATATCTCTTATTTTAACCTTCGAATCTGAAATTCCACATAACGTCCAATGCAAATCAAGTTTAGGGAAGTGATTTTTAAACCCCATCTTTTTTTCTTCAACCCCTCTACTTTAAGTGGGGATATAATTGTCATAAAATATTATTCTTTTTCTCTCCAGACTATTACTTCAAAGCTTTATATTTGCAGATTCAAAAAAAAAAAAAAAAAAAAAAAAAAAAGAAGTATAGGGGTCAATTAGAATTCATAATTTCACAAGCAAACTCTGTAATATTATCAAAATTACTTAATGCTACTCTTTTACAATAAAAATTAATGTTTTGATCTCATATCCTTCTAGACCTAAAGCAAAGATAACTACACCGTTTGATCTTCTTTGGGAGATTTCTTTCCTTCTTCTTCTTTTAGTTTTCTTTTCTAAGTATTATATTTCGGAAATAGTTGAAAACCCAAAATGCAGGTGTTGTTAAGAGTTAGTGACTTTCAGCCTATTTCGTGTTGTATAATTGTATCCTTTTACAAGTGCACATCCAAAATCTCGCGAATAGAATGATAAGTTGGTTGGCTAGCTTGGTGGATGAGACCTAGTTGCTTTGTGTCCGGGAGATGATTAGTGATAAAGTGTTATCAGCACAAGAGCTTTTCAGGAACTACCACAAAATAGTGGGTTTTTTTATGTGCTTTTAGGTGGACATTCAAAAAGCTTATGATTGTGTGGACTAAGCTTTATGTTATAGACACTTCACATTTTTGATTCCCTCCCCGAATGATCAACTGGATTCGGGAGTGTATTACCACAACTTCCTTCTCTGTGTCTATTAATGGTGAGTCCATGGTTCTTTTCGGGGAAAAGGGGTTTGAGTAGGGATGGGCATAATACCCATCCTCGTGGGGACCTGCCCCACCCACCTCGAATGAGGGAAATTTCTCGCGAATTATTCAGGGTTTGGTCACCCGGGCCGAAAATTGGTCCTCAAATTCAGGACAGGCCGGGGCAGGATTGGTCTTGTCCCGCCTTGACCTAGCCCTTTTTGTCCCCCCCAGCCCATATATATATTATACATAATATGTCTATTATCTATAATTATATGTTAATAAATAATATATTTTATATATGTATAATGTATCATTTGATATTTTGATTGATTATAATAAATCAATAAATCATTATAAAAAAATTTTTGTCCCTCATTGAATCTATTTCAATTCCATATTTCCATTACCTAATAGCCCTTGTTATATTAGGTAGCTACTTCGTTAAGGATAGTCAGATTGATGTAGTATGACATAAAAATCATGTCTCAAATCATAACTAAGCAATGTAACATCAAAGAGAAGCGAACAAAAATATTTCAATGAAAAAGACAATCCATCACACTTCACTTGCCTATACTAACATCTACCAATGAAACTATGTCATATGCACTAATTTCTCATGTTGGCACAACATTTCATGTTCAAAGAACGAAGCAGATTGCCTAAACCAGCGTTTATATCACACAAGCTAAAATGCTTCAATTTTGGAAGAAATACAACAATAAACATGGTAAACAGTGATGTAAATATTTTAACTCTTTAGAAAAATAATTTAAGTCACATGCTCTGTAATGCATAACCATTTGGCAGTAGAATATGTTCATGAACACCAAATGCTCCAGTATAAGTAAATGAATAAGTTCGGCTTAACATCACCAAACACACGACTTAAACTGTTGTCAGCAATTCCAAAGGAAAACCTAACAATCCACCACGACTATCTGAAGCACCAGAAGGACGAATTTACATAGGCAACATATATTCATATAAAACCAAAGCATACATGATTATATATTTAAGTGGGGAGAAACAACAATATGCAAGATCCCCAAAAACACAAGGCAGTTCAAATAATAAAAGAAAGGAAAATCATTGTGTAGATGGAGGTTGAAATGAACCTTTTTCTGGATCTTTCTATCTGTTGTATCTGCATCAACATAATAACCCACTTGCTGAATTTGATCCCGTACCTATAAAATTACAAAAAGAGATAAAATGATGAAAAAGTCAAACTAATATAGATACTTACATTTCATATGCATCCCTTCAACTACGGTATAACAAAATTAAAAAAAAATGAGGAAGATAACAAAAATTCTTATATCATCTTACAAACAGACAGAAAACCATAAGCCAGACAACCAAAATCTTCATGAATCAAGGAAGAGTGCATCAAACAAGGTAAATAAATTTATCTAAGCAGATTCAAGTTTTCATGAGATCAAGTGCAAAGCACCCAACAGTCAGACAAGACAAAAGTCACAAGTCTTTAACAACCGAATGTCACACATATTCTGCAACCAAGTTAACACAGTCCGACAAGCTGCATAGACCTACCATGGGATTCCAGAAGTTTTACACTGATTAACATCATAGGGTACAAACAATAAGCACTGGCAACAAAACAACTACACTACCTGCAACGCATATGGCTGTGATTTCTCTGAGACAGGGCAAACAATTGCTTGACGGGGACTAAGCCAAAAGGGCCACTTCCCCTTGTAATGTTCCAACAGTATAGCAAACATACGCTCAACAGAACCCAATATGGCCCTGTGTATCATAACAGGTCTTTCTGTCTTCGCTTCATCTTCAGCTGAGTAACCCAAGTTGAATCGATCAGGTAGCTGGAAGTCAAGCTGTAACCCAGAAATTCATCTATTAAGTGATAATTCTGAAACATTACAAGAAGAATAGAAGAGCAAAATAACAATGACCATCACACCTGTAAAGTTGCACACTGAAATTTCCTCTTCAATGCATCAGATACACTGATATCTATTTTTGGTCCATAAAATGCTCCATCCCCTTCATTTATCTGCACATCATGCAATGCAAATAAAGATAACAGAAAGCCAACACAATCAGATATCCAAGCAATCAAGTGAGATTTTGCTTCTTATGCTTATTAACACAAAAAAAATCATGTTTAATCTCATTGGTTACACCAAGTTTTTTTCCCAGAAAGATTAAATTAGCCCCCAACAAGTTCAACATACTGATTTCATAAACTGATTGTAAAAACAATTGGAGTTTTAAAAGTGTCAAAACCTAAATCAAGAAAAAGAAAAGAAAGCAACAACATATTCACCTGGCTCAATGTTTCAGAATATAAATTCTTATAATTGGGCATCAATAGTACTCATACTTCATGATTTATTCTAAAAAGTAATGAATTGGATGCCCTAGTTTGGTACCGAACGCATAATTTACACATCAAGTACAGAGACGAAGCTGCTTAAGACAGCTATGGTATGCCCAGAGGGAAAAACTCATGGTAGAATATTAGTATGCTAAATTCACAGAAGAACCCAATGAAGAAAACTTCCACATGTACATCGATTTAAGGTAAAGAAAAAATTACCTGCCATGGCTTACCGAACTCATTCAATGCTTCTGTAAGAGCAGCTTCTGCTTTCTCCCATGTTGCCAAGTCACCTAGATACTTTTCTGGCCTCTAAAATATAGGTATTTGCAACAAAGATTAATGAATGTCATCCATTTGAGCACACAAAATTCAGTAGATAAGAGTAAATATTTGTAGCACAACTAATATAAAACTTCATTCAAACATCCATAAACGTGCAAGGAAATATTTTAGGTAAATATCCTTACTTTGAATACATTAACAAACAAATAGGTACAACGAATGATTTACCCATATGAACCAATACACGCATCACAGAAATGACGCATATATTCCACTTCAACACACCCACCACACACACAATATCGACTGCAAAAGAGGATATATGGATAAAACAGAGATTTTTTTCTTTCAATATTGGAAAAAGAAGAGGGATCCAGGAAAATGAATTAATGCAACAAACAGTAAAAGAATAAGCAGTTCTGTAGCAAATAATCATTAGAATCTCATTGATAAACATTTAAGCCATCAACATAGTCAACACTGTAAAAGCAGATAAAGAGAAAATATCATACAGTTGACAGCTTCAGTTCATATGTGAACCCAAATATTGTATATGCGTAATCGATGAATTCCAGGACACCCTTTACTTCGTCTTTTATCTGAAAAATGAACAACAAAACAATTACACCAAAAAAAAAAAAAAAAGAAAAGAAAAAAGAAGCTTCTATGAGATATCAATTGAACTCAACTCACCTGGGATTCCCTGCAGAAAATATGAGCATCATCCTGCAACAAAAAACAGCATAAAATTAATCAAAAGAATGGTATTCTAACAAACCAAGAAATAAATTCAAGGGACAATTATAACTATAAATGACAGGGTTTGATTGTTCATGAGATTATTGACCACACCCTGAATAGACAATCCTAGACAGATTATATCCTACTTTCAACCCAAGAAATTAAATGGATGTTTGTGACAGATTAAATAGCATAAGATTTACAAGAAAAAATAAAGTAAACATTTAGCTTTAGCTTTAAAAGGTGCAGAAAGCCAAGGAGCATAAGATTTACAAGAAAAAATAAACTAAATGTTTAGCTTTAGCTTTAAAAGGTGCAGAAAGCCAAGGAACCCAAACATTGAATGACGAGCAGTCCAATGATTATAGAGTAAAATTTAGTGATAGCAAACCACATCCAAAAAGATACCTGCTGAAATCTCCTGACACGAGTTAATCCAGTCAGTGCACCACTTGCCTCATTCCGATGCAACACCCCAAAATCAGCCAGTCGAAGTGGTAGTTCTGCAAATTGAGAGATAGATCAATCAATGTTATGGCTTGCTAAAAGATTGTTGAATTTTAAAGAAAATTTGTTGACTGATAATGGTTTTGATTCTAGTATAAAGGAAGATGTTTGTTAGCCCAAGAAGAAGAAGAAGTTAATGCAAAAATTTCTGTTACGACACAGTTCGCATCATTCTTTTTTTTTTTAGGAGAAGTCCAGCACGTGATGCATGTAAAAGAAAAAGATGATAAAGTGATTCAGTTTTCATGACCAACTTGAATTATTTTATTATCAAACTTCTCCTCCATCATACAAATCGTTGGCCTCATGCATATAGGCACATCCATACGGACTAGCATGACATAAGGGATACTTAAACATATCTATTTGATTTGATTAAACCAAACCTTTCAAATGCAGAGTGACTAACTAAAAACAATTCAAGTGAAGAAAATGCATGACATTTTTACAGAAAAATGCTGATATTAAATGAACTTACCTCTATAAGAACGAACCTTGTGGTCAAACATCAAACAGTGCCCTGGACAATTCATTGGCTTCAATCCAAATTCTTGTTTCTCAATCTATGCCAAAAAATTGAATACAGCACATCAAAGAAGAAAAGATAACAGTATTCTAAAATAAGACATTATCTTCTTTGCCTAAAGACTTATAATAAGGTGTTAAATCCATAAATACACAAGCATATCTCCCTTTATATTACAGAATTCACAAGCGAACTTAGTGTCCTCCTTTCCACTTAACTTGAAATTTGCAAAGATCATACTTGCACACAAGGGCAGTGACTGTCCACAAGATAAACATGAGTCCCATATCCACAACAAAATTACAAATGATAAACATGAGTCCTCCCCCCCTTTCTCTCTCTCTCTCTCTCTCTCAAAGCACCAAATAAGAAACTTCAAGATTCAATCTATTATCTTTGCCCACAACCTTGACACAAGCTAGCATATTGTCATGAATTTCTTTGGAGTCCCCACCAGAAATAAACCATTGATCAGATATCTCTTAACAAATTAATACATAGTCCTGAAATTAGTAATGTGTACATGTTATGGTTGCTATCTTTCCAAAATGAGCTAAATCTGAAATAAATGTTCTCCTCACCTCCACTTAATTACTTGAGTAAATTTTTCCATATAATGTTTGCACCATCACCCTTCCAGTCATGCCATTACCTACTACTACTTCCTAAAATATGTAATAGTGAAACTTATGCATATAAACGACTAAATCTTACAAATACCTCGATCTAGCCATGCATAGTAAAACACAAATATAGTTCTCAATCTTGATTCTCTATACAGGAGGATAAATTGAAATTGTGTCCAATCAAAAAATAGAAAAAAATAAATACAATATTATTCAGAAGCTTACATCAATCAGAAACATATTCTCCTTGTAATTTGCTGCATGACCAGATGTTTCCCAGAGTTTCATGTTATACATATTTGGCGATATAACCTGCCAATTCAAGTAATTTAGGCACTTATTTATAAAAGTATACTATAATATGATGTACAATAATCAAGAATAATTTTTACCTCCTGATAACCTCTCTCCCAATACTGTTTTTTAATAAACTCCATCAATTTGTTGTAAACACGAGTACCGTGTGGAAGGAAGAACCAGCTTCCAGGGCTGCTTTCACAAAAGATGCATCAAGTTCATATCATAGAATGTTGTAAGTATTGTATGGTTCATTAATCTGATTCGTACCTAAGAGGATGATTAAAGAAAAGTTCTTGCTTTTTACCCACTTCTCTATGGTCATATTGCTCTGCTTCTTTCAACAGTTTAATATGCTCCTGGATATAGATCAACATTGTTGAGAAGAACAAGATATCATTTGGAAACCAATGAGAAATGGATGACGCAAAAGGACTTTTCTCATCTTTGAAAACAACTAGCAGTCCACCCCAATATCACAAACTCGTGTCTATAATATTTACCATTGTGGTTTAGAAAGCAAGCGTTAACTTACTTAAGAAATAATGCATGCTTCATCTTTCTGCAAATTTTTATTACATAAAATTATATCAAACAAAGAGCATCAAGGCATATAAGCAGCACGTACTTGCAAATGTCATAAAGAACTTCTGTTTGCTAACAACCAATTGTTTCCAGAAACAAATATTTTGTTCTTTTAAATGTAAAAAAAAAAAAAAAAAAAAAGGAAAAAGAAAAAATCCAGCTAAAAACCCCCATATTCCCAAAATTTTCTTCATACTTTATGAATTCCTTGATGCATTATATATTTGTATATCATTGCATTTGGATTGACAATGAATCACTGAAAAAACCATTTTTATAGATTCTTCTTAAGACTACAATTCATTGAAGTGGGAATGCTGAGACCAATAAACATACCAGCCAGTTTCAAAGCAAAATCCATAGACAATCAGCAGTTTAACAAAAGGAACTGATGCATCAAAAAATGCACAATCAAAGAAGAAACCTAACTACAATGGCTGAAAATAAAAATTACCAGCAAACTTTTTTTATCAGGAAAAGATATCCCATATACTCTCTGTAAACTCTCACGATCTTTGTTTCCCCTCCAATAAGCTGACGAAGCCTGAAATATAAATTTATTAGCATGACAAATATTTGCAAAACACAAGGTTTAACATGCCATATAAGACATCACCTTCAAACACGCAAATGCTTTCACAAAAGATGTATTTGGTATATGGGGTCCACGACACAAGTCAACCAAGGGACCGCATCTATATACTGTAATAGTTTTGTCGGCAGGTAGATCATTGATGATCTCAACCTAATTATGAAAAGAAAAAAGAATCAGATAAGAATTTTAAATGAAATACCATCTTAACTATATAGTAAAGATACATTTGATGTAGATGATAGAGCCAAGCAGCTTCACTCACCTTGAAACTATTATCAGAAAACATCTCAAGAGCCTGTTCTTTTGTTACTTCAATGCGTTCAAAAGGCTGCTTTTCCTGAAACATGGAATTATCCAATGATTACCTACAAGTTTCATCATTCTCAAGTAGTAGGAGCATACAAGAAAACTGAACCACTGAACTCAAACATCTGCATTTTAAGAATATGCAAGAAAATGCAAGAAAAAGTTTAGTCGCCTATGATTATTACACAAAACCAACACATGTGACTCTCACCGCCCCTTCTATGTCCTTGCTAAGTAGATTTGGTGGACTTTTGGGTTATGAAAATAAGAAGAGGAGAAGGAGAAGTAGTGTACACTACCCAATCTCAAATCTTCTGTAAAACTGCAAACACATTTGACCAAGGTAGATACCAAACTGATATACATATATTCAGCTTTGTTTACAGATTTATACAAAGGTCAACCTGATTATTTTTCTACAATAAAGAAATTAAACTTTATGATGCAATTCCAAATTTTCCACAGTGAGTTGACAGAAAAGATTTAACAATCTGTGCAACTGAGGTAAGCCCCAATTCATCCTAATCAAATTCTACCACAATCTACAACAAAGTTCGACAAAAACCCTGAAAACAGATGATGATAGTTATCCTTTGGTCACTAATAACTCCATGTTGACAATTCAAGCCATCTACTCTTTTAACCATTCTTTTTCACAAGAGGTCCTTCATTTACCAGAATTACAATAAAATGAGAAGAACAAAAAGTGAATGCACAACAAGGTAGTAACAGCACTTTCTCCATAAACGCACAAGTATAAATAATCAAGAATATACAGAGTACTAAAAACAAGGAAACAGAAATACCGCAACAGCTTTCGCGGCCCCTGCATCAATTGACTTAAAGTGGTCCTGATTCAAGCCCAAGTCACCATAAAATGCATCATAGTAGAAACCCTGCAAAGGCATGTCACATCTTGTAAAAAAAGAATCTTATTTGCATATCATAAGTAGTAACAAAATGTTTGTGTCAAAATAAACATGCAACAGTGGTATTTTAATCAAATTTATTTGTAACACCATACATGTTGCGATTAATAGATATATATTATCCATGACAAATAAACGACAATAATAACTCAGTAATAATTTAAAAAAAAAAAATAAGAAAAAGAAAAGTAAGCATCAACAACATCAAATTTAAAGAATACTTGGTATGAATGTAACAATCCTCCACCACTTTGACTAATGAATCTTTAATATCATGGGCTGATATTGTAAAGAAGACGCATAGAACTTCAAGATAAAGAATACTGCTCTTGGATGTAAAAATTAACTCAAAGGATGCAGTCCAACAAGTAATGTGAAGAGTAAAAACTAGTAATGATGCATAAAACTTGAATCCAATAATAACCAAATCCTACTAGCTGCATGTGAGAGGTATAAGAGTTTATCAATTTATGGCTTATCACAAAGATTGATCAAGGACATAAGAAAACATCTTTTCTCCACCACTGGTTCGTGATTTCATAACATAATCAAATCAATCTCAAGCTATAAGTATTAATGTCTTCCAAAACAATAAATGAAGTTTACTGACTTTGTTTCCTAGGTTAACCAAAACAAGAAAATGTCACCAGCTTGCAGTCCAGAAACAATTTCAGCTGCCATCATATCATAAATAAGTTCTCATATCTCTATATGTAACTCCTGAAATACTTTTGAAACATGCTAATGGACGCCTTCTTATTCTCAACCAGCTTCTCTCTAAACAGGATACATCCAGTAGGACCAAACATTAAAGAATCTACTAATTCTGAGATGAGACAAGTTCCCATGACACTTTAGTAGCAGCTATCCAACAATTTGTTTTCATATAAGAACATTAATAATTATCACTCTCTACAACCCGAAACTGCCCTAAAAATTCATCAGCACACATCCAAGTCAAAGCCTCTCTCAATCAACCTAACATGAATCTCTACCCAACTTGAGCAAATTTTAAAAAACATTGTAATTACTCTACAACCAATCTTCGCTTCTTTGCAATGCAACTACAAAAATCAGCACAAAATTTCGAAAGCGTTGTAATTACTCTACAACCAATATTTTTTAAAATCCATACTTTTCCTCCTCATTCCAACATCTAGTTTGGTACGAAACAACAAATAAAAGAAATTCGTTATACTCTATAACACTAATAAAACGAATTCAAAAAAAGAAAAAGTGTCCAACATGTACCTCTCCCCTTGTGGTACAGGGTCCAATACATAATTTGCAACCATACTCCATTTCCACTGCCTGCAGCACAACAAACAACAAATGTAATTAAGAATATAGCCATTAAAGACCCAAAGATCAACCGTAGAGATTCAAACAACCTGTCCAAGAATATGGGCGCTAGAGTGCCAAAAAGTATCACGACCTTCATCAGTCTCAAATGTGAACAGTTTGAGTTGACAATTGCCTTCCAACGGTCTATTCATGTCCCACAAAACTCCATCCACCATAGAAATGAGAGCATTGGCTGCCAAACTCTTTGATATCCCTTTGGCAATATCCATGGGCGAAGTTAGCCATCTTTTTCCTTCCTTCACAGACCCATCCGGCAACACAATCCTTTCAAAAACAACCAACTAATATTACTAATTAGACAAAAAAAAAAAAAAAGATTTAAAAAGAAGAAGAAAAGATAAAGGAAGAAAAACGAACTCGATAGGGTCGTGAGGTAGCGACTGAATGTGGGCTTGTTGTTGTGACTGAATGGATTGGAAAAGACTAATTCGTTTCGGTATGACGTTCTTCAGATAGTCTTCGTCTTTGGGGTGATTTGGGGCCGCCATGGCGAAAGAAGAGAAGGAGCGGAGATAAGACCAGGGTTTTAAGAAATGGCTTTGAGAGTGAAGCAAGACAGGAGAAAATGAGAGACGGCGGCACAGGATTTTACCACATTGCATATGTATTACGCTTAGGCAGAATAAATTTCGACCCTTTACGCCCTTGTATTCTATTACCATACTCCCAAGTCCCAACTCAGTTCCTGTTGCGTGGCGTGGACATCAAGCAGTGGGCCGGTACTGGTAGCACACTGTTAGTCGTTAGATATTGGGCTGGTTCAAATTGTTTCTCTTGGGCTTTCCTTGCAGTCCATTCATGGAAGTGGATCAACAAAAAGCCCAATTATAGTTGCTCATTAAGAAATATCAAGAACAATAGACCAAGGCATGGACTGATTATTTGAACCCCTCAAAATTTTTTGCAAGCCTCATATTAAATTAAATTTATTTAATAAAATTAAGCACAAACTTTATTTCAATATTAGCCTTATCTTCTACGAGTTATATCTCTTATTTTAACCTTTGAATCTGAAATTCCACATAACGTCCAATGCAAATAAAGTTTAGGGAAGTAATTTTTAAACCCCATCATTTTTTTCTTCAACCCTCTTCTACTTTAAGTGGGGATATAATTGTCATAAAATATTATTATTCTTTCTCCAGACTTTTACTTCAAAGCTTTAATATTTGCAGCTACAAAAAAAATAAAAAATAAAAAAATAGAGGTCAATTAGAATTCATAATTTCACAAGCAAACTCGTGATAATTATCAAAATTACTTAATGCTACTCTTTTACAATAAAAATTAATGTTTTGATCTCATATCCTTCTAGACCTAAAGCAAACATAACTACACCGTTTGATCTTCTTTTGGAAAGTTCTTTATTAGCTTCTTGTTTATTCTTCTTCTTCTTTTAGTTTTCTTTTCTATGTATTATATTTCGGAAATATGTTGAAAACCCAAAATTGCAGGTGTTGTTAAGAGTTAGTGACTTTCAGCCTATTTCCTGTTGTATTGCCCTTTACAAGTGTACATCCAAAATCATCGTGAATAGAATGATAAGTTGCTTGGCTAGCTTGGTGGATGAGACCCAGATTGCTTGTGTCCGGGAGATGGATTAGTGATAAAGTGTTATCAGCGCAAGAGCTATTCAGGAACTACCACAAAAATAGTGGGGTTTTTTTTATGTGCTTTTAGGTGGACATTCAAAAAGCTTATGATTGTGTGGACTTGAGCTTTATGTTATAGACACTTCACATGTCTGGTTTCCCTCCCCGAATGATCAACTGGATTCGAGAGTGTATTACCACAACTTCCTTCTCTGTGTCTATTAATGGCGATTCCATGGGTTTTTTTGGGGGAAAAGGGGTTTGAGTAGGGATGGGCATAATACCCGGCCTCATGGAGACCTGCCCCGACCCGCCTCAAACAAGGTAGAATTTCCTCGAATTATTCAGGGTTTAGGTCGGGCATGGGCCCAAAATTGGTCCCCAAATTCGGGGATAGGTCGAGGGCGGGATTGGTCTTGTCCCGCCTCAGCCCAACCCCGTTTTGTCCCCGCCTCGAATTCCTCGCTGAGCCCCATATATTACGTATAATATATAACATATATATATATATATATTATACATAATATGTCATTATCTATAATTATATGTTAATACATAATATATATGTTATATATGTATAATGTATCATTTGATATATATGTATAATATATATATATATATTATACATATATTATACATATATTATACATAATATGTCATTATCTATAATTATATGTTAATACATAATATATATGTTATATATGTATAATGTATCATTTGATATTTTGATTGATTATAATAAATCAATAAATCATTATAATTTTTTTTTTTTGTCCCTCAGTGAATCATTATTTCAATTCCATATTTCCATTACCTAATAGCCCTTGTTATATTATGGTAGCTACTTATTTAGAATTTATTATAATATATATGGTAGTTATTTATTTAGAATTTATTATAATATATATGTTTAATGTATCATATGTAATACATTACGTATAATGTTATGTATTATTTAGAATATTAGTATAATATATATGGTATAATTTATTCAGAAATTATCATAATGTATTATATATTATACATTATACATAATATACTATAAAACAAAGATTATATATTATACATTATACATTATTGATTATACATAATATGTTATTATCCGTAATCATAATATCACATGTTAATACTTATTACTTAATACAATAATACATAATATTATACTGTTAATATATAATATATTTATATATATGTATAATGTATCATAATTATTATTTTGATATTTTGATTCATTATAATAAATCCATAAATCATTATAAATAAAGTCCTTGTGGACCTTGTCCTTCATTTAAATTAAATGATTTAATTATTGTTTCAAATTTTCAATTCCATTACGTAATTACCCATTTGCCTTTGTTATATTTTTATAATAATGGTTTTGCCCTTCATTTATAAATTCAAATTATGCCCAAGTCCATAACTCAACTCAACTCACAATGGATTCAAAGTTTGAAACCCTAAATCCCTTATCTAGTTAAAACGTTACCGCCTAGTCCGCCTCTTCATCATCAAACCTTTATTGGGATATCATCGCCTCTTCGCCGATTCTGGCTTCCACAATTCATTTGTATGTCTTAAATTCTACCCATTCGATTCTCTTTTCTGGAACTTCAATATTTGGTTGCATTGAATTGAGAGAGTGTTTTTTCAATTGAAAGGTTTAACCCACTTTCTATTTTGTCTGTTTTTATGGTTCTTTTATTAATCAACTTTGTAAGTCCTGCACAAACAAGGTCTTTCTCCATGCCCTTTGTGTCAAGATTCAAGAAAAAGAGGTTTGTTTTCTTTTAAAGTTTTGGGCTTTCATCAATTTTGGTTTGTATGATTGAAAATTTTATGTGGGTTTAAAGGTTTACATTAATTGAGTTATGATCCAAGCTTGTTTTCGTATTTGCCGTTTAGATTGATTGATTGAGTTATGCTTGAAGATTTTATGTGGGGTTTAAGGGTTTAGATTGGTTCGTGTGATTGAAGATTTTATGTGGGGTTTAAGGGTTTAGATTGATTGAGTTATGATCCGATCTGAGTTTTTGTATGAGATATGTTTGCACTTGCTATGCAGTTTGCTTGTGCAAACTGCAGTGTAGTTTATGTTTGCACCTGTTGTGCAGTTTGCTTGTGCAAACTGCAATGTAGTTTATGTTTGCACCTGCTGTGCAGTTTGCACTAGCAAACTGCAGTGAAGTTTATGTTTGCACCTGTAGTGTAGTTTGCTTGAAGTTTATGTTGGTACCTACTGTGTAGTTTGCCAAGCAAACTGCACTGTAGTTCACACATGCAAACTACATCTACACTTTGGAAATGCAAACTGTAGCAGGTTCCATCTGCTATTTGTATTTGCAAACTGTAGTGTAGTTGGCAAATGGAACCTGCAATTTACATCTATTGCGAGTCGAGTTCTTTTGCAATTTTTTTTAACAAATGTCTAAATTGTTGTAAGGGTTTTTTTGCCGTTATTTTTTAACATCTTTATTCTTTTGTGGGTGTTATCTGTACGTTATTAATAGGTTACATTACACCATGTCAACATCAACCAAAAGAAGGGATTTAGAAGAGGATATCAACTGATCTTCTGAGACATCCAAAAAAGTATCTATTGTCTCTAGGAGAACTATTAAGAGGGACATTATGAAGATGTATGAAGTCCATGAAAATGTTCAACAACAACCGGAGTAGAGTTGCCATCACTATTGATTTGTGGACTGCTAGCAACCAGAACAAAGGATATATGACCATCACAACACACTTTATCGATAATAATTGGGTCTTAAATAATCGACTTTTAAGGTATTGTGTTTTTTTAATTTTTATGTTTCATTATTCTTATTTTTTTGTAAAATTTTAAGATAAATTAAAATATTAATTATCTACAATTTATATTGTAGGTTCGTATATGTGCGTTGCCCACATACTAGAGATGTGTTTTCTGCAGTGTTAATAGACTATTTTTATGAGTGGAATATTGATTTGAAGCTGTCCACATTGACGGTTGACAATTGCTCCACCAATGATGCGGTTGTCCAGTATATCTTAGGAGAGCTTCAACGTTCCACCCTTATGTTACATGGCAATTTTTTTCATATGCATTGTTGCGTGCATATTCTCAATTTAGCTGTTCAAGATGGCTTATCGGTTATTAGAGTAACAATATTCAAAATCCGTGAAACTGTTTCCTATTGAATGACATCGCCTAAAAGGAAGCAAAAATTTGTGGAAATGGCATGTCATGCAAGCATTCTAAGCACAAAGAAGTTAGGTCTTGATTGTAAGACACGTTGGAATTCAATGTATTTGAAGCTTCAAACAGCTTTCATTTATAAAGGGATATTTAGGTGTTTAAAGTGTCAAGATTCAAATTTTAGATGTTTACCAAGTGATGAAGAATGGGAGTTTGCAGAAAATATCAGTGAGAAGCTTGAAATATTTTATGATACCACACTCGTATTCTCTACAACGAAAAAACCCTCTACCAATTCTTATTTTCCCAAGATTTGTGAAGTTAGACTTCATGTGACTAAAATGCTAATAGATGAGGATGATTTGGTAAGGAAGATGGTGACTTAGATGGATGAAAAGTTAAAACAATATTGGAGTGTGATTTATGGTGTCATGGGGATTGCGATGGTTTTAGACCCTAGGTTTAAAACGAAGTTGTTAGATTTCTTTTTTCCTTTGCTCTATGGAGAGGATGGTGTAGATGAGATTATGAGGATCCGAAGATTATGTAATGATTTGTATATTCAGTATGAGAGTAACCACCAAAGCTGCCAAACACATCAATCTTATAGTTTCACTACATCCCTTGGTACCATTTCTCAGGCTGAGTTTGAAAGGATGGGGGTACTGGCTAGTTTGGCCAGGATGAATCTAGTATTAGCCAAGAAAAGTCTGAGTTGGATTCTTAATTAGAGGAGAAAATTATTCCTAGAACTCCAAACTTTGATTTATTGACTTGGTGAAGGTCATTTGGGGTCAAATATCCTATCCGACAAAGGATTGCTCGAGATATCCTAGCTGTTC